ATAATGAGGTGGTCCTAGATGGAGTTCGTCTTATGTCTCTACATGTTTATACCTTTTTCTAAACAATTTCATGGTGTTTGGAAGCGTGGGCGCTTTTTGGGACCGATTTTCAAGAAAATATATCCATGCTTCCAAGACTCGTTTTTCACAAAAAAAATGCTTCTACCACGTAGGTAGTGAGCAACACTATGCTATTTGGTAAGGTGATTTTCATCACTGCTTTTCATGTATGTGCTGATAGATAAGCATCACATAAGATACACATCAGTCAACCATTGGTGAAAACGGTTCGCCAAATTGGTGGGATCCTGATTTTCAAGGCATGCCGAATTTTTTAATAATCGACTGAACCAAACAATAAGATACATGGGCATTTGTTGAAACGCTTATATGAATCCGACGTGACACTGTTTTTTTTTTTTAAATCGACCACGGTTCCAAACATCCCCTTTATCATTCCATAATTGGCCATAAACTCTTTCTATATTTAATTTGTGCCAGTTGCAAATATTGGAAAGAGATGGTTATTACATTCCAACATTCAGATTCATTTTTGTTGAGATGCAAAAGAACGTAAAGAAAGTGGTAACCATTTACAAGTTACAAGTGGTCCCCACTTTACATGCAAAAAATGAAGGTAGAGTTAGCTTGTGACCCAATATATGTATCATTAAGGCCTAGTTTGTTTGGAGTGCAATTTCATTTGCACTGGTGCAAAAGGTACTTGAATACAAATTCTGATTTATTTTCATTTCAACTTTTACCAAGCTTATTTTGTTTGTTTGCGGTGTAATAAAGTAAAAGTGGACCAGAATTTGCATTCTTTACATTTGCATTGTCATCAATTTGAATATTAAGAAAATAATACAGTATAGAGTCACTCCTTGAAAAGATCAAGCCATTTTATGAAGCAAATGATAATCTCGCAAATGTTTAGGTTGTGTTTGGTTGTAGTGTAAATTTATTTGTATTAGTATAAATGCATGGGAGTGCAAATGTAAAAAATGCAAATTCTCGTTTAATTTTGTTTTAGATTTTACTTTATTCTGTTTCATGTGTTAATTTACTTCACTTGTACTGCAATCAAACAAAATAAACTAAAATTTGAAACAAAAATAGGTCAGAATTTACATTCAAATAATTTGCACTGCCATGATTTTGCATCAATGCAATTTGCATTGCAACCAAACACAGCAAGAAAATGGTACATCATACAGTTTAATGAGCATCTTACAAGATCATGGGTCTCCTGGAAGCAAAACTATGCATGCACCCTAAAAATACAACACCCAGCTTCACATCAGGAACATCTCATTTGAATATTAAATTCATAGAAAGATATTCCCAATGTGTGGTTAGATGCTATGTTTTAGGATGTATACATGATTTTTGCTTTCAAGAGATCCTGTCTCATTTCACAAGCCATTAGAAAGATGAGGACATGTTATATTATTGTTCCATTAGGTATGTAGCAAGCATACCTACCTTGAGAATCCAAATTTAAGTAGAACTCAAACAAGCAAGACCATGTGACTTATAACAAATCTAGATAAGACCTAAGGCTATATTTGGTTTGGAGGAAAAGGTAGGGAAATGAAGGGAAAAACAGGAAAAACCTATACAATATTTATAAAGGTTTCCTTACCTTTCCCTGCATTTTCTTTCAAACCAAACATAGCCAACTGAAAAACAAATGGTGCAAGTTGGATTATGAGGAAATCAAAAGAGTCCAAATCAAAGTGTCTGTTTACCCTAAAGGGCTAAAATTTGGTTTTTGTAGGAAAACCCAAAAGCGATAATATTAAAGGCGCCTTTAATTTTTATAATCTTTCATGGAAAAAGTTCAAGTTGAAAGGAAAAGAGCAAGTACAATACAACATTTACCAGAATAGAGAGATCTTTAATAACGTAACTTTCAGGCACCATATTTTTCTCGAAAGCTAGGCAATCTTTAAAAGTTTTGATTTTGAATTGTAGCAAAAAGTGGTAAAAGAATCCATTCATTGATTATACCATTGAATTAACAACTTTGGAGGTCCACCGCAAGTGAGAGTTAAAGCCTAAAAGCATGGTTTTAAAAAATGACCTGTAAAGGGAGTCATTCTAGTCATTAGTTTTTGGGTTGACGGTGCGATCGTTCGATTGGAATGGATAGTCCATTTGGACAAAAAAATGATCAATAAAAACCGTTGAATGGGTCAATGGGTCAACAGGTCGTTGACTGATTTAACGATTTTTGGCCAGGGACCGGGTTTGGAGTAAAACGGAACTGATTGTCTGGACGGTTTTCAGGTTGAACGGCCCGACCATCTGGATCAACGGTGGTTCAAAAACCATGCCTAAAAGGTGCATCAGCCCTAGTTTGCCAGCCCACTCAGGCACATTAGGGTGGGGTTGACACTAGATCTATTTACAAGCTAGACTAGGCCAGGTTCAGACCATGCTTTGCCTCTTTATTTACAGAAAATGTTTAGGCCCAAGCCTAGATATTGAATCTGAGCCCCGCCTTATATGAAGCACAAAGCCTAGCTTGGACATAAAATGTCTTACTTATATGTAATTTAACAAACTAATATTATATGCAAGGTGCCAACTAGTTGGTTGGTATGATCTTTCAGCTGATTGTAGTGGAAACTTGGGATTGAATCCCGCATGTACTAGTGTTGGGGGTTATTGGCTTGGGGATGGGTAGCCCATCCTCCAAATTATATTATGTTAATTTGATAATAACTTAGTTCATAAATTAAAAAAAAAGGTATTTGTTAAATTAATATATTAGATATCTATATATTATTTATATATATATTAATTATATATAATATTATTGGGTTAGACTTGGGCTGGGGCGAAACTTATTTGAAAAAACCTAAGTCCAGTCCAAAAAAAGTTGGGTTTGATGCTTAGAGCCCAAGCCTAATTCTACATGTCTAAAATTTTGTGCAAGCCCAATAAAAAACAAATCATGTGGGCCGGGTTAGGCCGTAAGCTTTGAATCATCACTTATTTATATTGCACTTCTATTCGGTGTGTGACAAGTGTCTAGCCTCATATGCAGGGTAAAAGTGCACAAATATGCCTAGCTCTAAACAATCGAAAAGACATTTATAGTTCGGTGATGGAGGTGAAGAGGAGAGAAAGTAATGGCAGTGTTCTCGGTTGAGGTTCATTGATGGTGAAACAAAGGAACAAGAAGGGAGATAGACATAGGGGAATCTTAGTAGGGGTTCAATGTTGAATGATGGCGGAAAAGTATGGACCGCAGGTACTACTTGTTGTAGAATGGCTGATCTTTTTGGTAACAGACAATGGGCCAATGGGGGAACAATGAATGGAGCTTGAGTGTTTGATGCAGAGGTTTCCTATGACGTTAACCATTGTTGAATTTCGGGCCTGATTTGGTTGCAGCTGAATAGGGGAGAGGAGGAGACGGTACGAAGGAGGCAATGAAGGAAGAAGAAAAAGGAGGAGAGAGAGAGAGAGGAATCCATTGATGATGTGAGCTAAAATCTGATATGTGGTGAGAAGTGAACCGTAGCGGTTGAACAGGCATTACAACTCACTTTGACCCCGTTCTTTTTTTGGAGTTTGCAGTGTTTTTGAACTGTTATTTGATTCGGATGGTCGGACAGTTTGGCTTGGAAATCGTCCTAATTGCTTCCGTTTTATTCTTAATCTGTTCTTGGGCAAAAAACCGCTGACTTGGGTGATTGAACCATCTACCCATTTGACCCGGATAGCAATTCACGGATACAATAGAGAGAGAGAAAGAAAAATGATCTCAGATCTGTGACAAGAACGATCTCAGATCTGAGATCACTAAATCCTAAATACAGCAGAGAGAAGAAAAAGAAGAAGAAGAAGATTGCATAGGTCAGAGACGGGAGAGCTCTCCTCCTCCTCCTTCCCTCCTTCATTCTTTCCTTCCTTTCTTTCTATCCTTTCTCTTTTTCCTCTTTTTTTTTTTTCTTTTCTCTTCTTCCTTTCTTTCTTTTTTTCCTTCTTTTTTTCTTTCTTTCTCAGCCCACAACCACACCCTCTCTTTTCTCATAAAAACTTACAAGTCTAAAAGACATTTGCCCTAATAATTCAAACCGTTCAACTTGGACAATCGAACCGGTGACCACAACAGTTCCGTTTCTGGGCCAATTTTTTAAACCTTGGGATTTTGAGAAGGGGGAAGTTGGTCAATGGGATTTTGGTTCCCATTGATTAAAAAACCCATATTATTTTTTTTTAATTTATGTGGGATCTAGAAAATTTATTTGCCCTATGTATCACTTACTCGCCTATCTTAGGGGTGTCAATTGGACTGGATTTGGTCTAATCTAATGTGAATTCTTTACAAATGGATCAGGTCCAATCCAATTCAGTGAATATTTTGAACCATTTTGGATCGGTCCAATTCAATGTTTAGACCATCCAATATATTCAAATTTATTTTAATTTAGATTGGTCTTAACCCAAACCCGGTCCATTAACACTTATATTCTTGTATCATATCAATGAAACAGATATTGGCTTAATCCAATCCAATCTAATCTAATAAATATTTTAGACTGGATTGTTCCAATCTAATATGTATTTTTGGTCCGCATTGCGAACTTCCTAAAAGCGAATGGCGCCTTTGATTCTAAAGAGAGGGGTTCAAAGTTGTTTCATCTTTTACTGAAAAGAGTTTTCAAACGGTGGGGCTTAACACCTTTTTATTAGTTGTTGCATGAAGTAAGACTCCTGCCACATGCCTAGGGACAGATGTTATTCTTTTGTTGCGTTAGAGTGAAGTTAGTATAGGAAACCCAAATTGCAAGAAGAGGTGATACCTCGAGTCATTCGCTTCTTTATGGGTGCACCAGATTTCTCGCTGAGCAACGATTCTCTTCACCATTGGTTAATTATGAGTACATTGATTCACCATGTTCGTCTATAAGGAACACTGTCTTCTAACCCTTATTATAAATTGCAACCTATGGGGATTTCTAAATACTACCTTTTCTGCGAGATCCAAGTTGAGATTCCAGGTTTTTCAGGTTTGTTTCTTGGTTCCATTTTGTTCCTCTTTAGTTTCCCACTTATTCCTGCAACGATATTCATCATTTTTTCTTTTTTTCTTATCTTCAGAAGTTATCATATTCTCTTGGTCAAATGGGAGAGACGGAAAAGAATGAGGCTTCAAGCGAAGTGGAAAAGAAAGAAGAGGAAAAACATGATAAAAAAGATGAACACGAGGATGCAAAAGAGAATGAAGACAAAGGAGAAGAGAAATCAAAGGATAAGAAGAAGACGAAGAAGAAGGATAAGGACAATGATGGTGAGGGTGAGGAAGGTAAAGAAAATGATGGCAAAGAGAAGAAAAAGAAGAACCCCGAGGATAAAAAGGATCCTGTAAAGCTCAAGCTCAAGCTTGAGAAGATTGAAGCTAGAATGCAGGATTTGGCAGCAAAGAGAGAAGAGATCCTAGAGCTTATCAGCGAACTCGAACAGGGCAATGCAAATGCCTCGACTGAGGCGTGAGGCCTGTACTACTGGCTCTTGTTCTTAGGGGGATAGATTAATTGCAGTCACGCAAAGAAGAAACTAAGGCTGAGTATGGAAGAAGTATAAATATAAATATGTAGAATGCAAAGCCTTAAATTTTGTATGTATTTGTACTGTATTTGTATTTGTATTTGTATTCAGTATAAATACATACAAAGTAATGCAAAATATAAAGGTTTTGCACTTTATAAATTTGTATTTGTACTCCTAAGTATTCCTCTTGCCGTTGCAGATAGATAGAATGACGCTATGCCATAGTAATATAAGAAGCAGATTAGTACTCTATTTGAAGTGTATATAGACCTACTGATCTTGGTGTCTCACCAGATTCCCTCGTGTATATACATGAGATGACAAGAAAAAGGATGAATGAAAAAACAAAAAATAAATAAACAAGAGAAGGGTGAATATCACTATCATGTATTTTGGACTATAATTGTAGAATATCGTATCTTTTGCTTATTTATGCTACCAACATTTATTTTGAGTCAGTAGTCACTTTTGTTATTTGTTTATTTGATCTATAGCCTTGATGTTTAGAGAGATGATTTAGTTTTAAGGCTTGATTTTTTTTTTTCATTGCGTCACTTAACTAGGTAATTGCATTTATCCCTATTCTTTTAATCATAAATTTTACCCAGATAAGTTTAATAAGTGATCATTTACCATATAAATTTTATCATTAGAAAGGGATAATTTTGTTCAATAGGCTGTGTTTGGTTGCAATGCAAAGAAATTTGTACTGATGCAAAACCATGGAAGTGCAAATGATTTGTGTAAATCTGACCTATTTTTGTTTTAAATTTCAGCTTATTTTGTTTGATTGTAATACAAATGAAATAAATTAAGACATGAAACATTTGTATGTTTTACATTTACACTCCTATGCATTTATTTGCACTGCAACCAAAAACAGCCATGATGTTTTAATAACTTCCCCTCCTCTAGAAAATTCGATTTACTGTGGAACCCACAGTTATTCATATGTAGGTAAGTTTGTCAACTTGTTCGTTGACCAATTTACCCCCTTTCACCAGGTGAAAAACGAACATACCCTTGTAGATAATTCACATATCTGAGATGATTATTGCTTTTTTTTTTCCTTTTCTATCTAAGGATAGTAGAAATGCCAAAATCATATTGCTTTTATCCAATCTATCTTGAGAATCTAGCTACCGAGAAGAATCCTGGTCTGATCTCCTCAACATTAATTCCTCGATAACCTTAGAACAAATATTGCACAGAGAATTGTTGTTAGAAGGCAAGCGTGAACATTCCAAAGACAAAGAACAAAGATAATAGGATATAATGAGAGTCACATGATAATAACCCACTAGACGACCTGTTCTAAGAACTCTTGAATCAATTTGTTATGCGCACCCAGAAGCTAGAAAACAAGTTGTAGTTGATCAGGTTAGAACCTTAAGGAAACTAAGTCCTTAGAGAATCAAATCTTGAAGACGCCACAAAGGTTGATCACTCCCTTGATAAGTCAAGATATTGTATTCTACCAAGAACACAAGAAGGCAAAGCTAAGCTTGCTAAAAATACCTCTATATTATTGATGATTTCGTTTTACATAATTATAGTTTTTATATAGGCATGTAAACATCATTATCTTATAAGGAAACTCTTAATTTAATCATGTAAACATCATTATCTTATAATGAAACTCCTAACTAATGAGGATCCCTTTAATTTAGAAAAATAAATCTACCTTGATATAGGAATTCTTTTAAAAGACTACAACTAATGACAACTAAGCATAGAAAAGTCAAAGTAAAACAAAACAAGACAAAAACAAGCTCAACATGACAAAACAATCCCATCAGTACATCTTAGCATACTGATTGAACATTTCCTTATCATGTCCATGCGCCTTGGTCTTATATCATAGATTCCAAGCTTTGTTCTTTCAGATCAAAGCCTTGTACATCGTCTTGCACATAAAGATAAGTGATTATCCTTGGTGAAACTTTGAAAACTTCTAGAACAGTTTTAGAATCTTCTAGAACAGTTTCTTTGTTATGCACTTCCATGATTAAGCTTTATAAAGCCTCTTTCATCACCTTTATCATTGCCCTGGTCATTGGACTACCGATTCCTTGCAAATGATCTTAAGAAGATTTGGGAATATTAACTTGAGCCATTTGGCCAACACCTCGATCTCCATTATTCCATGCCACTTTCAAACAAAATTAGTGGGTTGGGCCAATAATTAAACTAGTGGAGTTTCATGGGTTGATTGTATCACTTAATTTATTATAATCCAATTAAATATTTTGCCAAAAGAGGACAGATACATGCATTGGGAAAATTTCTTAAAATTGTGCTTTTTAACAGTCTTTTTTTTTTTTGTTATTTTTCATCCTTCAAACTCCAACCCCTCCACCTTGATAAAGTGGGTCTTGATCCCAAGTCCTCCAAGTCTCCACTACAAACAGTGAGAGACCTTCAGACGGATTTGTGCATAAATGTTTGTCTTAAGTAGGGCTATTTCCTATTTGGCAAGTGCCAACAACAGTGGCGCAGCCCACCTCACGGTATGGTTTCCTCATTAGAGACCATCTGGGCGCTTTAGTATTTGGCAGATCAATTCCCTTGGACAACTTATCTCCTCTAGAGGCTGAAGCTACAGCGATGCATGAAGGTCTGAAATTTTTGGTTGCAATGTCCATTTCACTCGGCCATTATAGAAAGTGACTCCCAAAAGATTTGTCAACTTCTGTTGGATGGGTCACTTTCCCCTCCCATATGCTTGTCATTGATTGCAGAAGTTTCATTTCTAGCTTTCCATCTCACAAAAGAAAGTACATTCTATTAAACAAAAGAAGAGGGGGTATATAGGAATATTCTTATATATGTATTGTTGTTTTTATTTTTTATTTTTATTGTTGTGAATTATAAAACAATAAAACGTGTTTGGTGCAGTTATTGCTCTTAATGCAACCTATATATGTATATATTTATTGCATTACTATCAACTAGTGGGTCCCCTGTAATGCACGGAAAAAAGATGCTAAGGCATATTGGGCTTAAAACTTATTATTCTATGGAGCTATGCAATCCTAGGGTAGGGATGACATTTTTTTCCCATCCTCGTCGAGTACCTGACCTCCCCGATCAGGCGGGGATGGGGATGGAGACTATGTTAGCGAGGACAGTGTGGGGATGGCTCGATGGGATTAATAGGAATACCTTATTGGGGATGGGGAGTGAAGTCTATACCCCACCGACCCCAATTATATATATTAAATATATGTATACATATTCTATTAAATATATAGTATTATTTATGTTATTTATAATATTATTTATATTATATATATCAAAATTTATTCAAAATGTCATTTGTATTTTAAATTTTCCTTTATTTTAAATAAACACATTTCTGAAAGCAAACTTTTAATTAAAAGAAATCAGGGATTTAGGTCTCCGATGGGGAACCCGTCTTCGTCAAAGATCATGGATGTAGGCTGAATTTTTCCCCAATGGGGATCGGGGTCAAAGACGGTGACTAATTTAAAACTTGGGGCTAGGATGGAGAGTATGATCCTTGCCTCGAACCCGCTCATTTCCATTCCTACCTAAGGGGTCATACCCTTAACCCATAAGCATAGTTTCAATAATTATGGAAATCTATAAATGTAGTATCTTATACTTATGAAAACTATTAAAATTTTCCAATTATTTATTTAAATAATTCAAAGTTTATAATTTATATTAAATTACCAAAATCACTAATTAATGCTAAAATATTAAGTAAATATCAAAATTACTAAAAATATAAACAATAATTTTATATTTATTGAAATTAATTTCCACTAAAAATTTCTAATTATTATCTAACAATATCATTAAATATTAATAAATTGATCAAAATTACTAAAAATATCAATAACTACTTATTGCTAAAAATTAGTGATAATATCAAGTAATTTTTAGTAATTAAAATTTCCAATTTAACAAAATTAAGAAAAATTATAGTTTAGGTGTTGATATTTACTGAATAATATTTAATAATATCAGTAATTATTGAAAATATTAAAATATTTCACAAATTAATTTAACTAATTAAGTTAATCACATTTTTGGGTTTAGATGATTTATTGGACATGTAATATAGATTAAGAGGTGTTTTAAGAGGAATTTTAGGTGGTAGAGATAGTTTAGAAAAATTTTAGGGGTTAGCTAAGCTAAGTGATTGGAAACATGAGAGAGAAAGTTGGAGTGGGCCTCTAGTGGAGAAGATCTGAGAGCTGCCACGTGGCTACATGGAAGGGCTGGGAAGGGTTAGGGAGAAAGGAGAGAGCATGAAGGAGATTTTTTAATTCCAATAATTTAAATAATTGGATTTTTTTAATTTCAGTTATTTCAATAATTATATTTTTTAGTATTAATTTCAATTTCAGTAATTGGACTATACTACATTATAATTTTAATTTTTGCAATTAGATTTTTTAATTAACTTTCACAAAAAAATAATTAATTATTTATATTTTAAATTATAATTGATAATTTCAAATATTGATGGATAATTATTTTTGATAATTAAATATTTTCACTAATTGTCAATAATATTTATCTAATAATTATCCATCAATATTTGAAATGACCAAAATTAGTAATTTTATGAAAACAAATTACTAAAATTTCTACAAAATCAATAATTTGATGACTTTCCAATTTACCAAAAAACCAAAATAAATTACCAAAACTAATTTTCAAAAATATCAATTATTATTTAATTTCAATAATTAATTTTGAAAATAATATCAATATAAAATGACAATTTCAAAATTTTCAAATTATTAAAAAATAATAATTAATTAGTGAAAACAATTACCCATCGACATTTGAAAAGTAACCACATGTTTTTTTTTTCCAAAAAAAAGATAACCATTCATTAGCAAAAAGACTTGTAAGGTTCAGAACTATTTCCTTGACGTGCTTCACTTGCCACTCTTCGTCTTCCATACCATCATTGATACTATTTACAACACCTTGTGCATTAGAAAATAAAATAGTAGATGTGATTTTGTGAGCGATTGCCGCCTCGAGACCATCAACTACAACC